AAGGGCGGCATCAATTTCTTCAAGCACGCTCGTCCTCTTGACTGACCTTCGCTCCCTCCGTTTGTTGTCGCTCCACTGGCGCGTTCTGTTTCCGCGAGCTTGATCTTAAGCTCTATCATAGCGATCTCATGTGCAGCTTTCAGTCTGGCATCCTCCCTCTCCCTCTCAGCCTTCTGCTGTTCCCTCTCATGTTCGAGTTTGGAATCTTCTCTAGCGTGCACTCTCTCCTCTCTCTCACGCTTTCTTTCCTCCTCCAGAAGATGCAACGCTTCCTCTTTTGTTAGTCCGAGGGAGCTTCCCAAAGCCATTATCTTTTCAAAATCCATTTCAAACTTGTTGGGAACCGTTCACCGGAACAACTGGTTTTCCTCACTTTGCGGTTTGTATCCTGGCAGGCTCGCCAAATTGTGATGTTATAGGTTCAGGTCAAACCGCCGAAGGAGGAATTCAGTCACACCGTGAGGTTTGATCAAGATATATATATATTAAAAAAAATTAACAAAAAAATAAGAAACGTTCTAGCTATACACAACTCTACAGGTCAGAAATTGTCTCACTTTCAGTCCGTCCTTGTGTGGCTGAAGGTCTTGGTGCTGTCTTGTTTTCAGCAGCGCTTGGTTGTTGGTGCGTGTGGTTCCTTGTTGATGGTCTGGGATGCTCTGCTCCGGGACACCGCCGAAGTCGTTCCCCGTGATGTTCCTTGGGGCTGGTCTGGGATGTTCTGCTCCGGGACACCGCCGAAGTCGATAGTCTTTCCCACCAGCGGCTACTTCGGATCGCTGCCGAATGCCTCGTTCATGCCGGATGTTGCCGCTTTGGTTGCACACCGCCAAGCTGATGTTTCACCCGACAGTAGCACCCTCGGGACGTTGCCGGGTGTGCTTCCACCTGGTCGGGTTACCGCCGAACAAGAACCCCTCTTCTTCCTCCTTTTCGCTCCCTTCTCCTCCGGCCTGCTCCCTCGACGTTTTCCTCTTCTACTCCATTTTTTTCTGTTGTAGCACGACAGTATGCTATATATAGTATATATCAACGGCTAAATCAATCGCGCACAGAACGAAAACAAAAGAAAACGCAGAAGAGAGGCGCATTCACTGTGCGTGATTGGTGCAGTTGTATACACCAAATCACCTCTGTTACGTCACGGTGCGGTGGTGGCGCGTCGGGCGCACTTCCGGTCTGGGGCTGTGGGCGGAAGCCGCCATGGGGCACGTGCATTCCTGTGTTACTTCGGAAGAAACCGGACAGAAACCTGCCTTTTCGTCAAAACGCCGCGACTGGAGCTTTACCAAAAGAGTCGGGAAAGGTTTAAAGGTCAGTTTCCATGCGTTTTCTGCCTGCTCGGTTTGTCCGAGAACGTGAACAGGGCCCGTAAGAAAGGAAATACAGACACCGTCGGGCCAGGATTGCTTGGGCGGAAAGCACTTTGGATTGAATTCAAGAATAGTTGTGGTCGTCAGATTTATTTGTTTTGTTCCAACATGAACGCGGGGAAACCGTCAAGTTGCACGGACCACCTGCGGACTACGTTCAGTGCGTCATCACGTTGAGACGGCCGCCTCATCGTTCGAGCTGTCGTCTGCTCTCTCAAGCGTTTCTGCTTGTCGTCTGCTCGTTCAAACGACAGCGGCCCCTAGATCAAACGTTGACCCGGTAATTACGATAAGTGCAGACCTCAAAAGACGTTTAAGTTTGAAAGTTGCTTCGGGTAAGTAGGCTCGGTGTAAACAGTATATATAAGGAGATGTGGATAATTGTTACCAGTGGCCATCACCGACTTGTGATGCCTGATTCACTGTGTCCGATTCTGCTTGCGATTTCCGGTATCGACGTCGATATCTAAGCTACGGTTCCGGCTTTTGCAGCCTGAGTGACGTCATGAGTGAAAATAGCGAGCAGAACCTCAGCATGTGAATCAGGCTATAGCGTCCATTCTGCGGCGTGCACGCGGAATGAATCGCCGCATGTTTCATTATTCACGCCAAGTTTTGGGGCGTAATGAGCCTCGTTAATTTAGCTGAGGCCGCTCAAGTAGTCAGACATTGCCAGGAAGACGTAGAATCAACAATTCCAACGCGAAAAAGAGCGCGGGGACTCCCACCGACGCCGACAACATCCCATTCCAATGGTTTGTTTATGGGCGACGGCGAGCTTCTTGGCCACACCCCCATTGCGCATCTGCGGCGTCGGTGGCGTCCTTTAGGGGCGCTCCGGTTTGTTTGTAAACATGAGTTCGTTTATAGAGAAAACGCACGCACAAAGGCGTTGAGCGCCGCAACCGTGAGGAACCGGGCGGACCTAATTCAGGCCCCGACCAGGGCGCCCCTAGCGGCAAACAGCCTCACTTCATCGGGAAGTTTCTGTCAGTTGCTGCGTTGGTTGCGCGTTGTAGCGGCGGTGTCGGTTTGGCGGTGTAATTTCTGAGATGGCTATTTCGCACCAAAAAAAGCCACAATTGCTGCGTGGTTGGCTGTAACTGTAATTAGAAAAACACGCACGGGGGTACGAAGTTTTACGACTTCCCTTCGAGCCCGTACGAGGCGGAGCGCCGCGCGACCTGGGTGCGACTTGTGCGTCGATGCAAGTAAGTAGCGCTCCTCAGCAATAATACAATTACCTTTTTTACAGCGTTGACGAACGCGCGTGCAAGATGCCATTTTTTAGGCTTTCCTTTAGAATAGCTACTGATGCAGATGTCGGCACGTGCCGCGGCTGGAACACCATTCCCTGCATTTTCCTTGATGCTTGGGTAAAATAGCATTAGGCCTATTTACTAGATTAGTTATCAATAAGCACTATTTTCCAGATCACAAGACTGTCTGGTAGATAATGAAGGTTTATCAAAGATTTGCCGCTGTACGACCCGCGTCGGCCATCCCTACGCTCACTCCGCCCTCTTTTTGTCGTCGTTCCAAGCGCTTGCGTGCCTAGTTTCTTTCCCCTCCCCGGGGTGGAGGAACCGCCGCGCGTGTCTACTTTCCACCAGGTGGCGGTCCCATTGCGCGTGTCTAGTTTCCTCCGGCTCTTCGGGGCGGCGATAGTATAGTCCACGCGAAATAATGACCACCGATCAAGACAACAATAACTGTGTGTGCGTCACGATGACCACCAATCAAGTCAATAAATGTGTTCATACCTTAGTTCAAAATTCTGTGTCTCGTCTGGGTCGTGTGGTATACAACTTCGCTGGTCATCCAGCTTCCCAGAATTGAATGGCTCATGATTTTTTTTTTTTAGCGACGATGGAACAACATAAACAACTACGACAAACTCTAATATACGCAGCAAATATTTCATCGGGAACGAGAACCGGGGTGAGGTTTCCCACCCAAGGTACAATCTACCCTTGGAGGTTTCTATCAGCGTAAACATGGAGAAAGTAGTGTTGGGCATCGCGGAACGGCGCGAAGACAATCACCCGGTTGTTGTCAAGCTGATTAAGAGAGCAATAAATATACATTATTAGCGCAGTTCACTCGACGCCAACTAAGAAAACCTTAATTATGTACTTACGTGACGCTCGACGTTCTTTGCGGGCGCCCTGAATTTCGTCTGCGGAGTACAGTGCTCCGCGACACCCACGTTTCCGTCGAAAATACCTCCTTCACGTCATACACGTGACCAGGTTCGCGAAGGAGTTTTCCTTTCGCCATATTGGTATAAGGGGCACGCCAGTGGGCACGGAGAAAGTAACTAAATATCAGTGCGTCATATTTTAACCGGACGACGCGGAAACCTCCTCCACCTAAGGGGGCGACTCGCGGTGCCGAAAACACGCGATATGTGACGTCTTTGGTCCTGGCCTTACTACTGGTCAGAGCCGCTAAAAGCTTTTTGTTAGTCGAAATACAAAATATAAGTGACGCGAGCCGTTTCAATTATTTATAAAAGTAGTTTTTGTTCAGTATTTTAGATCAGAAGAGAAACAAATGAGTTGAGAAAGCAAGGAAACAAGAAATGGCCCGTCGACATACCCGCCACCAAGCGGTGGAAAAGGCGGCGCATACTAGAAAGGTGTAGTGGGATCAGGCACCGACGACCGGCGAGCGTAGAAAAGTCCCTGATGTACGCGGCGGCGCTGCGGTCGTATGGACTGGAGGATCCGACCAGTTCCGAGCGCTCCAAAGGCCTTCGGCGAGCAGCTTTGGCTTGGGGTTTGGCCGTTTCGCTGTATGGCAGCGCGAAGTGGCTCCCGTTCTGAACTGATCTTTACCCCGTGTTTTCTGTCGTTTGTGGCCAAGGAGGTGCAATGCCGAATTAGTGTTTAATCGCGCAGCAAATGCAATGAGAGCCGCCCTGGCTGCCCGCGTCATACAGCCTAACCAGCACATGCTTCAGTGGCACCCTCTCGAGCCGTCAACACGGAGTGCGGCAGCCTTGACCACTCGCTGAGCTCACTACTCCTCGCCTAGTTCACGGCCACTCAAGCAACCAAAGATGTCATGAGGAAGGTTATTTTTTGTTTGTTTTTGTAATTTTTAATTTTCCTACAACTTTTAATAGAAAACGAATTTTGAGAAAAAGAAAAATTTCATTAAGTTTCTACGTTCAGTGCGGTCAGCTTCGCTGCAGATTAAAACCGCTGTTATGTTCATTGCCATTGCTTCCCACAGATTCTGCGCCGGCTACCGCTAGGTGGCGGCGAACAATAGGCGACCGCCACCTAGCGGCCAATAGGCTACCGCTATGTGCCCATTGGCCGCTAGATGCTAAATGGTACAACAAAATGGCTAGATGGCGTAAGCTACCGCCCGATCCAAAGGGCTCAGCAGGATTCATCTATCCATCCATCCATCCATCGCCGCGACACGGCCGGTTCGCCCGCTTCCGCAGCTTGGTTGGTTCCACGGATCGCAAACGTCAGAGGAACTCGGTCGGAAAACCAGGCTCCTCTGTATCCTGCTAGAGTCATAGCTTTCACTCTTCTTTTCTTTTCTTGGTTCCCTCTCTTCCAAGTTCTTTTTATTTATTTTTAAAATTTTTAATTGAAATAAACTCACCTTACGTTACTCTTGCTTGCTTCTGGGGCATTGGCCACAGCTTGGTCGTACATTTGAGACACATCTTCAAAGGGCATGACTCCGAACAAGCTGTGCAAGATTAGGAATTTGAGGGCGACGCTTTCCTTGCTGTGGACGTCCTTGATGTCGTCATCTTCGTACTCTGTCGCTGCCAGCTGGTTGAAAGCAGGGATGAACTTGAAAAAGAAACGGACATTAATGATTAGGCATAAGTTGGCTCTCAAGATGGGAGAAACACCAACCGAGTACTTTACCAGTACTCGGTTGGTGTTTGCAGGTCGTGGGGACGCGGTCACGCGGAAACAGGGTTCACGTGACCATGTACGTGCCCCCCTCTACGTGCCCTCCCCTTTTCCCTTTTCCCCTATCTTTTCAGTTCCGGTTTTAGAGCGCAGCTCTTGGGCGCCCGTTTCAGGGTTTCACGGTGTCGGCGTAACCACGCTAAATTTAGAGGGAAAGTAGACGTCACGTGACATCAACACCAATTCAATTTCTCGCTAAATTTAGCGAGGAAATTGACATTACGTGACTTGGTGTCACGCCACCTATAAAAAAATTCAGCTTCTCCGTTAAATTTAGCGGTAAAAGTGACGTCACGTGACCTAAACAGGAATTCACCTCCCCGCTAAATTTAGCGGGAAAGTTGACATCGCGTGACCTGAATACCAATTCAGTTTACCAGCTAAATTTAGCGGGGAAAATAACGTCCTATGACTTGGTGTCACGTCACCTATGAACAAATTCAGTTTCTCCGCTAGATTTAGCGGAAGAATTGGCGTCGCGTGTGGAGGAGGATGGGGAGGAAAGTAGGAGGGGAGAGAAGGGGGAAAAAGAAAGGAGGGCGAGGAGAAGGATGGAAGTAGGAGGAGGGCGGGAGGAGGGGTATGCTCTTTCCTCCGTTACCCCCCCCCCCCCCCCCCCCCTTCTCCTCCTCAAGAGTTGCGCTCTGATTTCGTGTTACTGATGTTCATAATAGTCTTTAATTTTTGTATTTTCACCGCGTTCTCCTCTCATTCGGGGCACTTTTCTCCGCGCTTTATTTTTTATTTTTTTTGTTACAAGCTGGAATTTTGATAGCGCGCTGAAAGGAATGTGCGATGTGCGCGCCAACATCCAGTGGCCGGCGAAGCAGTTAAAATTTTCCTTTGGTTGCGGGTCTAAGAAGCGTGTTTTGCTTTTGGTAAGTAGCTAGGTGCCGCAAGCTACCGCCCGTTACAAAGGGTATTGCCATTAATATCCATCCATCCATCCACCAGTGACATGCCGCACGCTAATGAGTACAGTCTTTAAATTTATTTTTCTACTTGTGCTTTCACTTGTGCCTTTCGCTTATTTTGTTTGCTGTTGTGTTGTAACCGTGCGGTGACCTTGTAGTCCAATGTATGACTATGCGATCGAGAACATCGGGCGTTGACTTTCAAGAAAGCATTCGTCTAGACACATACAGTGTTTATTATTCCCTGAATTGGGGATCTTTTTTCGGGGTTTGTTTTACTACAAATGCTGTTTCTTGTCAAGATTTTCCAAGTACTTCCGGAGCACGGCTTCTTCGTCGTTATCCGACATTGTACGCGCGACTCCACCAACTTGGTTTTGTTTCGCAAAAGTCGCTCCATCCGCCCCTCCAGAACAAACAAAAAAGAAACAAAAACAAGTGCACGAGCAGAAAGGCCACAAAAAATAAACCAAAAGCAGGAAGGAAGAAACGCCAGAGAGGAGGACGAACACGATCAAAATAAAAACAGGAATCATGTTTTGTTTTGAGAAGGCGAGGGGACACGCCGGTAGTCACGTGATCCCTGTTGTCACGTGACAGCGCCCTCACGACGTGCAAAAAAGGCGTTCCGGGTAGGAGAGGTACCGCATCTCCCTTTCCGATTGCTAACCGCAGTACGAGGTTTCGCCGCTTGGTGTGGTCTTGATGTGACATAGGTTCATTGACGGCATCCTGAACAGTTGGAATGGTTTTGTTTGTCACATCGTTTTACTAACGACGCCATCTAGCGACGCATGTATACATTTCGCGATCTAATAAGATCACAATCAGTCATGAGGCCATCTGTCGAAGGCAATGAAAGGTGAACAATCGGCGCATAATATGTGCTCCAGACTCAAATGAACGTAATGCATTTTTGGGGTCATCGCAACGGTGTTTACAGTAACGCATCACTTTCTTCCTCGCCATAAAATGTGTCTGTTAAGCTGTTCGACTTTGTTCGACGTACTCTTATTGTCACTCTTATCCAGTCCGAAACAAAAATCAGACACCCTACTTGTTACTTGTTTCACCCAGCGTTCCTGCGGGAGGCACCCTGTGAATTACACACTCGTCTCACACGGAAACGTTCATGAAAGACTTGATTCTTTATAAAGATTATAATCATTTCGAGAAATGCAAAGCGGCGCCTATCACACGTCTTGCTTCGCGACTGGTCCTTTTGTATTCTTATAGACTAACGCCGGAATCTCATTTGCTGCTGAACAATAATAAGATGCTTGGGGCTTAACCACACCCCGCGTCTGTTAAGCCATCAGGGACTATAAAGGTGCGTTGGAATCCAAGTGTCTTGTTAGTTCGATGGGCTGTCATATATGCAAAGGTTAGCACTCACTTTCTCCTTGTCGTTCGTGAGATCGAAGTCGATGACGGGGTGGTTGACCTTCTTTAGGTCTTCGAGGCTCTCGGCATCGCCAGACTCTGGGAACGACAGCCAAAGATGCTCCACCTTTTCAATGTCCTCTGGAAGCTGGGTGTCGGTATTGGCGTCGTGAACCTCCTCCAGATCCAAGGTACGACTGCAGGAATGAAGGATTTTGATTGTTCGTGTGATATAAAGAGATTTATGGATAAATTGAAGCAGTTTATAAAAACGAAATCTCCTGTACACCGACGTTTCGCTAAGGAACTTAGCTTCTTTAGCAGTGAATGAACTAAGGCTCTTGGGGAAACTGATTCTTGCTTCCTACGAGCCCCTTCCACGTTCGTGCTTTGTTATTATTTGTTTACGCGCCTCAGAACCTGAGGCGATAATATGCTTAACATGTTTCGTGACAAAATATTTTTTTTTTAACAAAAAACGCATTTAAAAAAATAGGATCTTCCCTGCGTATTTCCTATAAATCTCAACTTTGGTTTGTTTTGTCCTTGACATGTTCATCAACCGAGGTGCCTCCAAATAGGCCAGTAAGAGGTGATTGCACAGCGATGTAATAGTTAAGCTCTGCAGCACTGTGCGTAAAAAGAAATTCAAGTTATAAAAAGACGAACCAAAAAGCACCGCCTTGTGTTATTTTTATGCCCAGAGTGAGCCCCCAGATTTTAATCCTATTATTACTTCCAGATATAATTAACCTAAAAATGTGGAATATAACGGAGTTCAGAACTCTGTAAAATTTTGTTATTTGAATACACATGTCACCAGAGGCACAAAACGTAACGTATTTTGTCTAAACAAAAAGCTCTTAACCAAGTATGTCACTTTTTTTTTTAAAATATAAAAGTGCAACGGAGTCTTACTTAATTTGCACTCGAATGATTTTTCCACCGGTGCCGAAGGGCTTGATTTCGGTGTCCGAAGTGGCGTCGGCATGATTGATGACGTAGTGCTCTGGTGTTCCATCCAGCCTGTACTTGATTTGAGAAGTAGCTAAGCCGGGGTGCTGCAAATTTAGGAAGACAGAAGTGTACTGTCCGGGTTTACATGTCCCACACCTAGTGTGCGAGAGGCATTACTGCAGTATTATGTGCCAGACAACACAACGTATATGCAGTTCGTTTGTCTGTTTTATTCATAAAGGTTTCAGACACCAACCAATTATAAGTAAAGAAGGAAATATTAACGAAGGTATGAATGTTAGAACTGGGAACTGTGTGAATGTGTGTAGTTAAGTATTTTTCAGAAGCTTTAGGCTTGTGAAAGCAACAAAACGCATAAGAAAACCTGACTATAACGATAATTGCAGTTTCGAGTACGTATTTCATTTTTTTTGCTGCTTGAAGTCGGGAATCGCGGGAAGTGCAGATATAAATACTCTCGTTGGTTTCCACGGCGAAGTACCGGAGCGGTGTTGGCGGCCATGACGCTATCGTAGGATTTCATCGTAACCTACACAAGACGTCCGATCGTTTCGCTCGGAGCCTTCAGATTTATTCTTCGGTTTCTTCATACGTACGATTTGCATCATAGCAAAAACCAAATACACTTAGCGAACCGTTTCTGCTGCTATGCCTTAACACACAACCGAAGCAAAGCAAAGCGGAAGAAATACCTTCCCTGCCCCGTGATACTGGTTTCTACGTCACCATGAAGCGATCGGAGCGCTCCTATCGGTCCCGCTTGGGTCTAATATTCGATTCTTTTTTACTTTCCTAAATACGTAAATTATGATATCCATGTTAATTCAGAAGCAAAATTCGGAAAGTATAACATAAGTGTAGTTTTTTTTTTCTTTTTTTGCAGTAAATGCTTATTTATTATCTCACAAAGCAGACAGGCCTCTTTCTGGGTTGTAAATTCGAATAGATTTAATTTACTTTAAATGAACATCGAAAAATCAAATCCGTGTTCCTTCGTCCCTAATATAATATGTTCACCCTCGCGAAAAACCTGAGCTTAAACTCAACCATGATCTGTATTTAAAACTCTTTCAATGTTCTAGGCGTCGTTTTTCTATATTATTTCATGAGATAATCACATAAACTAAATTATCAAAAAGTTTTCAAAATTTCTTGGATCTTATACCTTCATTAAGTTATAGTTTATAAATCCTTGTTCTGTTCCCACCTAAATTATTGCGATTTAGTTTGGAGCATATCCACTTCAACGAATCCTGAAATGGCACTCCTGTTTCAAAAACAAGCTGCAAGGGCCATAGGCAATATCCATTTCAGTCTCATACATTAGACCAATTAAAAAAGTTGCGCATCATAAAAGTTGCTACTTTGTATTAGTACAAACTTAATACCGGCCTAAACGGAGCGATCACTAGGAATACAAACTTTCTAATTACCTTTGGTCGTTTCTGAAAAAAGAATCAATCTCTATCCCGTAGAGCCAGCTATAAGGAGGTGGTCACGAAAAAAGCAAATTATGACACACTTGATCTAAAATACAATATTGTCACGAAATACTTCGTATGAGTACCAACTTAGCACTAACCTACACGGAGCGGTCACTAGGAATACAAACTTTCTAATAACCTTCGGTCTTCTCTGAAAAACGTATCAATCTTTTTCCTGTGGTGTCAGGTGTGAAGACGTGGTAACGAACAGAGAAAATTATGGCACACATGCTCTAATATACAATATTGTCACGAATGGCCGATGATGAGGAGACGAATGAACAGAAACTAAACGTTTCATCTGGCGAACTTGTGCCGAAAACGAAAATACAGAGGTAGCGTCGCAGGCTCCGAAGGTTGGTGGAGTAGCACGATCAAGCGCAAGAGTGAGACTCCCCCGGCTCGCCATGCGGAGTCCCTTATGTACCCACGTAAGTTTCAGGAACATTCGGCGTAGAACGTTCGTACCTCAATCAGACGACAAGGTTCTCAAACTTACGATAACGCTAAATTGAAAGATCAAATAAATGATACGTCGCTTCCAGGAATTTAACCCGGGCCTTCCGCAGGAATGCCAAGCACGGTAACCACTCGGCCACGCACGCGCTCGCTCGGCGACGCGCGTGGCAGTATCCCTCATTTACTAAATTGTTATGAACCTTATCATTTGGATTTAAACGAAACATCAGCAAAAGAAATTCGATCATTGTTTTATGGATGCTTATGATTATTAGTTGTATTTGCTCGCTTTGTGTTTGATATCTGCTGAATTTGTTACTGTGAATTTTTTATATGTATCGCGTTTTACTCATATTTTATTTCCTGCTACGCGACCATCGCTGTGCATTGCAGGTTGTCACGGATACTTCAAACTGTGTATACAGCTCTTTTTTTTTTGTCGCCGACATGTAATATTGAAGGAAAGAAACTCCATTATTGGTAGTAATATTATTATCACATCGTTCGGCTAAAGACATTAAATAATTATATTCATTTAATTTTTGATGGATGTAGACTGTAATGTTTTGTTATCGACATCGCCGTTAAAAGGCTCAGCGTTTAAAGCTAACCAAGCGTATCATTCGTGCTTTTTAGTACTACCACGGACAATAGTACTTACGTTTTCCATGGCCTCGCAGTTAACACACCCGTGGCCCCTAATCCTTCCGAAGGTGTAGATCTCCTCGTCGCACTTCTGGAGATTTTTGATCTTGGTGACCGTAAGTCCATCTTTAAGTCCATCTTTCTCGCCGACAATGTAGAGTGTGTCGCAGTTTCCCTGAGGACTCTCCTGCAAATATTTAAAGGAGCAGTGCAACGATATAAAATTGGAATGTTTTTCACTTGACACGAGCTTACTGGCACACCTGGGACTCAAGGATACTCACACGCAACGCCACTGGCCAAGAAACTCCTTTGTCGCGGTGTAATTTCAAGGACAAAAGGGATCATTTTCATTCAATCTCTCCTTTGCAAAATTTGATGACGTAACGTGGGGATCGCAGCACACGCAAGTGACGATATTTGAATGCGGTTCATAGATTGGACCCGAGCATTGCGTGGGCACTCGACTTGGGCTCGTGATAATTGCTAGCTCGAGAAGCATTCGGGTAGTGACCTGTGTCCAATCGCTGCAACGACGACAACAGCCGAGCCATAACAATGTCTGGAACTCAGCGCGTGTCCTGCGCTTTGCCAACCCTAGCGCGTGGCTATGATCAACACTGGCGGCATACAATCGGCTCCAGATCACGTGGCCGCTTGTTCTGGCTACGAGTTGAGGGGGTGAACACTTCTCGTTTTAGAGCGCAGCTCTTAGGGGCCCGTTTCCAGCTTGAGCGGCGTCGCGACCTCGGTGTGGTCACGTGACCCCCCCCCCCCCCCCCCCCGAGGTCACGTGACCCCCCTCCCCCGAGATCACATGACCCCCCCCCGGGGTCACGTGACTACCCGCAGGGGACGTGCCCCCCTCAGTACCCTTCCCTACTCCTCCTCAAGAGCTGCGCTCCAATTCGGCGTTACAGGGATTTGTAAACGGCTTTCATTTTTTTTTTCTTTAATTTTTTTCTGGGACTTTTATTGCGTGGGGTGAAAAACGACCGCGTGTTTCATAGGTCATTAACGTCAGGGATCCGTTTTAAAGGGTATTTGCGTCAAGTACAAAAATTGTTGCATCGCTCCTTTAATGCTTGTTCTCAAACTTTCTGGCGAGGTTCAGTGCAGAATTGCAAATTATCCTTAAGGCCAGTCTTTCTTTTGCACAATAAGAATAAGTAAACAGAAGCTTGACCATTTCACTGCTCCCTTTTAAATCTAGGCAAACGTTAGTTCTTGGGTAAATTTCCATACCATAATTATTTAGACGTCAAAAAATTCAGTAACGTCGTTGACTTTGTTCAGCTGGCTGAGAAAATGCTTGGCAAGTCCAACTCGTGTCAGCTGATCGTTCCTTATTGACGAAGAAGCAGTTATGCTAAAAATTCGCAACTATGGTGGAGAATGTAGCTGACGGCAACTACTAATATCACAATTCGAATGTTCTACCGGCCACCTTCTGATGATAGCGGGTCACTAGCTGCCATTGGCGACATGATTTCGAATTTTTATCATGACGTAATCATTATTGGATGGAATTTTAATCTCCCTGGTTTCAAGTGGGTCGCTGTCTCATGCATTGCATTTGATTAGTCTGCTGTTAATCGTTCTTTTTTATATTGTTCACACTTTTGGTATTCTGCAATGTGCTACAGTTGTGCAATGTGCTACAGGACGCACACTGTCAGGAATCCGACTTCGGAAACATGGAGCACTGGTGTACTTTTTGGGGACTGGGTTTTTATGTTAAACAAATAGTGTTTTTTTATGCTTTTCTTGAGGTCAGAAACGCTTCTCTCCTTGATTTCTTCTTAACAACGACCTAGTCCCTGAGAAGTCTGAAGGTGAATATTTAGGTGTATTGTTCTCCAGTACCTGTTCTGGGGAAGCACACGTCAATCAAATCGTCAGTGAGGCGAGCATGACGTTCAACTTCCTTCAAAATATTTAAAGCAAGCACCTCACAAACAATGACAAGCTACTTATTTAAGTTATGTTTGGCGAATTCTAAGTTATAAGTTTGTTTCGTGGGACCCATTACAAAAATATCTTAGTGGCAAAATAGAAAAACACAAAATAGGTCTTCTCGTTTTTGTCTAAAAAATTAGATTCATTTTGCAAGTGTGACGCAAATGAAGAGCAGCTTAGTTTAGGAAAACATAGAAACTAGAAGAAAAACGCTGCGCCTAAGATTTCTAGAGCGCGGCTCTTAAACGCCCGTTTCCGGCTTGAGGGGCGTCGGCGTCACAGTCGCCGTCGGCGTCGGCGTAACCGCGAGGTGCATGATGGGTAAATTTCCCCGCTAAATTTAGCGGAAAAATTTCCCGCTAAATCTAGCAAACAATTTTTCCCGCTAAATCTAGCGTAAAAATTTCCCCTCTAAATTTAGCGTAACATTTTCCCCGCTAATTTTAGCGAATAATGTTCCCCGCTAAATCTAACGGAAAATTGTCCCCGCTAGATGTAGCGGAGACTTCTCCGCTAAATTCAGCGGAACATTTTCCCCGCTATATTTAGCGGAAAAAATTCCCGATACATTTAGCGGAAAAATTTCCCCGCTAAACCTAGGGGAACATTTTCCCCGCTAAATTTAGCAGAAAAACTTCTCGGCTAATTTTAGCGGAAAAATTGCTTCGCTAAATCTAGCGGAATATTTTTCCCGCTAAATCTAGTGAAAAATATCCCCTCTATATTTAGCGGGAAATTTTTTCCGCTAAATTTAGCGGAAAAGTATCCCCTAAATGGGTGCAAGTAGGAGAGGAGGAGGGGCATAGCCCTCTCTTCGTACCTTCCCCTCCTCCTCCTCAAGAGCTGCGCTCTAATTCGGCATTACAGGGATTTGTAAACGGCTTTAATTTTTTTTATTACTAATATTGATTTTGGCCAAACTGGTATAAATGCCCCCTTATGTCTTTCATCTCCCACCTACCCCCTAAGTTTGATCATCCTTTAAAAGTAAAATAATACTTGTTAATCTACGACTTATTTAAGAACAAATTTTTAACACTAAGTATTTGAAACGTTTTACTCTTCGAAATTGTAAACACTATAAACAATGATATAATTTCTTTAAAAAAATTATCCCAACTTCCGTGACTTTCTGTGATCTTATAGTGTTTTCCTTTTGTGTGTCACTTTTCTTGGGTATGCACATATTTGCATGTGGTCAATGTTGTGTTCCCATTGCCCAACACGTTTCTGTAATGCTGTTTTTTTTTAAATTTTTTTCTTTCTTCTACAACACTACTGGCACGGCAGGTATCTGAAAAAAAAAAAAGTGATTTGTTGAGCCGGTTTTGGGTTCCGGCTGTCGCCTGCGCCATAGAAAACTACGTTTAGACCTCAGGAGCCACAGTCCTCTGTCCACAGTCCGGACACACGCTTTTGCTTCTCCTTCAGTTTCTAGAGGACAATTTGATTACTTTCTCGTCCTCTAATTATAGTACAGGATAATTTAAACTCTCAAGATACAGCTGAGGAAATTGTCTAGACTCATGTTGGTAGCTTTAGAACGAACACTCATTCCAATAGCTGAATATACTGTGCATAAGGTGGGCATTCTGAAGCTTAATTATCGCAACCATGTTCACATTTTTTGCCCTTCATAGGCAAAAAGCGTTTGCAACGATACGACTAATGGTTCAGTATAAAACTTTTGAAATTGAGCTAGATGGTGAGAAGCAGTTGTGAAGCTCTTGCGCGCTGCAGAAAAATATCAAAGAAAGGCCTACTTTGAGGTGCTTATAACGTTTTTTTGTGTTAGGGTTTCATACACGTACCTCCTTCACGTAGAACTGCTTGGCGTGTGGATTGTCGTGACGACCCTTTATCAAATCCACCTGGAAGACGCTGACGACACCCTTCTTGAGGTTCATGGACCACTTAGGCTCGTTCTTGCCAATCTCTGCCATAACGAGCTGCACGCGAAGATATTGGTTAGATTCCATTCTACAATGTATCGCAACTAAGGTGTAGGATCCAATAATCATGGTCCAAAATTTAACAATGAGAACCATGCAAACATCGTCAAAAGGGCGATGACGCCTCAAAACTAAGTTAAATATAAACGATTCTTGAGCAAAGTGGTCCTACTGCTGTACAACGTAGAAATGAAATCTCGGAAAGCGCCATGAAGACACTTGACAGCTAGAAAGTTTATGGAACACATCGACGTCTCGGGCTTTTGTTCACAATAAATGAATGTAAAGATGCCATGTCTTTAGCGTTCCGCGCTTTCAAAACATTTGGGTGAGAAGTGGTCTGTATATTTATATTAAATTGAAGTTAAAGGTTTCGACAATATTCTGCAGTCTTCTGCCTTCAAAGTATATACTTGCGAATCTTAAGACGTGTATTTAATTCTGCTTACTACAGTAATTTTCCCCAGCTCAATAGAATGACTTTTTTTGTGTGCTTTAACAATAATTTTTCGAATCGAATGATTTGGAGTAACAGTGATTGAACGCCAAGGCCGGAGGAGCTAGGGCATGAACAAAGTTGTGCATGTCTCCTAATCGCAGTTCATCGTGCAATGCATCGGTCCGTTTTCAGAGTAAACGCTACGCTGATATTGAAATGGTCGGTCCCTTGACCCGTTTCATCTGGAACGAGATGTTTCTAAATAATCATGGAGTTAGAGTTTAGCCCACCTTTCCTTGGGAAAACTTGGCAGCAAATGGCCTCTCGATGAACTGCTTTAGCTTATCCGTGGAGTGGTAGTGGAACTCGTGGTCACTAAGGTGAATGTGATCGCCGTTGAAGCTGTCCACCTCAAAATCGATCACCTGTAAACATAAGGCGAAGCCGTCATTCCCATACCACTATAGTAGATGCGAAAAGAACAGTTTTATCAGAAAACAATATACAGGGTGTTTCACGAAAAGTGGACAAAATTGATATTACGAAAACTACGCGTTGCAACAAAAAAAGGCTTGTGTCGTTTTGGTCCCGGGCCAGGGGCCTACTTAGAAAAATTATTAACGTCCGGGATAATCAGATTGTCAATTAGTTTTGTGCAAATAATTTTTTTTAATATTGTGTTTAAGGGCATGATTTCGATTAGAAAATTGCTCAGCATCATCGAAAAACACTAAATCAACAAATTGCAAAACGATAGAAGGCACGCGCAGCATTTTACGGCTTTCTGAAAAACCGCACAAATTCGACGGGTTTTTCAGTTTCGACTTGCAATTGGAGCGCATCTCGGCCCCGACGGCACCGCGCCCCGTGGAGAAACAGTGCAACAAACTTCTGCTGCGCTGTCCTCGCTCAACGCAGCAGAAGCTGGTTGCACTATTTCTCCACGGGGCGCGGTGCCGTCGTTGCCCAGATGAGCTCCGATTGCAAACCGAAACTTAAAAAAACTCGTCGAAGAAATACATGGGTTGCACTGACGTCTCATCGCATACTTTTGACCACCATGTAAGAGGAGGAGAGGGAAGCTCCTTTTGTAAGAATTTTGAGTGACGGGTTAATCTTCTGTAATCTTCTGGAAGGAGAATTGCGACGTCTGTGCAAATCCAGGAGGCACAAAAGAGGATCCTGATAAGAGGGAAGCTCCTTTTCCCTTTTTCTCTGGGGGTCATCGGAGCGCTCTTTAAATGACGTCACATGCAACCCATGTATAAAATGCTTCATTCATAAATAAAAAAAGTAAAGCGCGTTTCTTTTTAAAGTGACACTGACGCCCCCCAAAATTGTTTTACTTTCTTGTCAGGCGATTCATTATGGTCTCGGAACACTACCCAATTAATATTTTGCTACAGATTCACGTATTTTTTAATAAAGCCAAAAAACGCAACTGCTCGAAACCGAAACTCCCGCACCGCACGAAGTAGTGGAGAGGATAGAGTGAGTGGCGGAAGTAACATGGCTACACCCGACCGTGCGGGTTTTTTTTTTTTTTTTCCGCACGTAGCAGACGAAATGCGTTCGTTCGCCGTGCGACTCCTTTGTAGTTATGTTTGTTCCGCTCGCTGTTCTGTACTTCAATATGAGTTGTTTTGTACATTTAAGCGTTGGCAATTAGTAGTCAGTGCCCAAGTGCCGTGGTGAATACCCGTGATCGGCTCCGAAAAGAATACTCCCAAGGTGTTGCGTGAAGAGTTGCCTCACACATGTCCTGCATCTGAAAGTGGCATATTGTGCGCCAGAGTGCACAAGTTTCCGAAAGATAACGGATCGGGATCAATGGCTGGCTGCAATTCCTGTAGAACAGTTACGCGAAGCTCGGAAAGCGGACGCTACCCGATTCATATGCTCCTTGCATGTTGTGGAAAGTGACTACCAGGGTTGGGCAGTATCGCGATACAAATGTATCGCGATAGTATTTCAGAAATACATTTCGTATCTGTATTTCTGTATCGCGATACATTTTTTTCGCCAGTATCTGTATTCCTGTATCGGAATACATTTTGAATGCTCCTTTGTATTGCAATACAATCAGGGTGAAATGTATTTCGTTACATTTCTTGAGAAATACTCTCCCTTTCCGGGCCCCCCCCGGGGCCCGGAAAGAAAATCCAACGCATTTTTATTTTACTTCTGAGGGCACCAGGGCCAAGAAGGAGCTGGGGAATTGTTACCATACGGACCAAGGTTCCTTCCGATTCTCCAAACTATTTTCCTATGCGTCCTCTTCTCCCTCCTGAGAAGTGTTGCGTAGTCGGGGACTCGAACTAGGTGTCGTGCCAGGAGTGGAGTCAGAGCATCTTCTGCCGCAGGTCCTTAGGTAGGAATTTCTTGAGTTATTATTTGCTGACATCCAATGCCCGCTGCTAACCGTCTCTCTTGCCTTAGCGTACGCAGTACACCCGGCCAGCAAAGCTGAGTCACAGCCTGTTGCAACAAGAGCCTGGCGCAGTGAAGTTCTACCCATATTCGAATGCGCCTGCGACTGCGCCCGTAATATTGCACGGCGTAAAGGTACGTCATCAGCCGACGTGAAAGTAACCCGTTGCTCTGGTGATCCGAAACTTAGGAAGGAGGCCAGACGTGGCCTCGCTGTGCCGACCCAGACTTCGTACACCTGCGACTCGTCTCGAGCTCGCTATTTCTCGGAGGGCTCGCACTTGTGCCGGCAATATCAGGTCGCAATCCACGAAGTCTCTATTTGGACTATGTAAGACCAAACTTGAGAACTGCAATCCATGCGTCGGTGGCAGAGGGCCGACAGGAAAGACTTTTACAACAGGGATGCCACCGTATCGTTTTTTGAACCGTAAGAGAAGGTAAGACAGGTGTTCCAGGTTGCTTGGGGTAGTCCACTATTCTCGAAAAATCCAAATGACACTGCCTGCTGGATCTTCAACGAGGTAACCTACAACGAAAGTACGTACTGTCCTTTCATACGGCAGCGTGCTAAAGTTTAATGTTCAAGGCCACACCTACAGATAAAGAATGCCAGTTCATTCCACCGTGACGTCATGTGATAAATGTTGACAGGGGCGTCCTTAGTGAACAGTGGTGTAGTGATTTAGGATGACATATAATTTATTTAGAGGTCGAAGTCTCTTCGCATCCCTCATCAGACAGACAGGATGTGAGGGAAGGGACCGCGGTCAGTCCTTGATGGAACGTTTTTTTGAGCCCACTGAAGACTCCTCGTCGTCCGAAATCACTACCTTCAAGGCAAAGTGCCAAGCCTACGGTAAATTAATTTCAGGATCAAAAACTTCAACCTTCAACTTCAAGCTTCATCTCATTTGGCATCTCAAACAAATTTTAAAAATGTATTGCAGTATCAGTATTTCTGTATTTGTATTTCTGCCCTCCCTAAAATGTATTCCTGTATTTGTATTTCCAAATACTTTTTGCCTGTTTTTAAAATGTATTTCTGATACGTATCGCGATACGCTTTTACAAATATATCTCAGTATCAGTATTTTAGCTACTATTTTAATGTATACCAGTATTTATATTTCCAAATACATTTTTGAGTATTTCTGCCCAACCCTGGTGACTACATTGAGTTCACAGGTGTCCAAAAATGGAATGCCTCACCATTTAGTTCAGCGACGTATCGTCCACAACAGTTTTTTTTTTCAGTGATAATTGTAAAAAAAAGAAATGTAAACATCGCAACATGCTTGACAAAAAAAAGAAAAAAGAAAAGGCACACCCACACCAGGGATCAAAGCCGTGCCCTCTGCATGTGAAGCCTTTCCACTGAGCTACTGAAGGGACTCCATCATGCGTAGTAATGCGATGGGTAGGCTGTATGTTTTCGTTTCAATACATGCACTCCCGGCTCGAAGTCGGGCAGCACCACACATAGGCCACATTCGCACCTCGTAAAGAAACCGTACGCGTGCGTATTCACCTCGAAGTACCCACTTCGTGCTTGACGTTTGAGCGAGCGATGTCTTCAGCTACGAGAAGGGACGACGGCTCGGCGACGTCTTCGTGCAATCGGCTTGCTGGTCGGGCGTGTCGTACGGGATGAATATCAATTCTTTTGATCAGTTTAAAATTTCTCTTTTGAGGGAAGACAGCATTCGCCGGTACCGTGAATGACAGTTCTGAAGTAGAAGTCCAACGTCCGTCGTCCGCTGCCATCCGCTAGTCCCACGATACGTGAAACGACGCCATGTTGAGAATTATGCAGTGAACGCGCAGAATGCTTCCGGGTGTCTGTGCTACCTTTTTTTCAATCAACGTATTTGCAGCTTTTTGGAAGCCACCAAAATGGGTTTCATATTTTTTTTTTTTTAAATATTGACTGTGTGCCTTCAATGACTCACGACGTTGATTAAATTTGATGGTCGCGTCGATACCTTAGAAAATGGCCCGTGATCACGGAAAAGAGAGTGAGCGCGACTCAAACCGGCCAGTTCTTTATCGGCGGTTTTCGGGCAGAAAGAGACCGAATTTAGAGCCGCAAATTCTGTTTTGGGTAGTTGGGCTCTCACATGTCACGTAAAACTAAAAACCTCGGCGAGCATAAATACCCTGTCAGTGTCCCTTTAATGGTAATGGTCACGTGTTTTTTTCTATATTAAAATAGCGTAGCTTGTAGGTTGTCTTTTTTTGTGCAAGTAACAAGTAACGTATTTTGTTACTTTTTTTTCGTTAACGCCTACTAACTACACTGCGGGGTTTGTAAGCGAAATGACCGTGCACGCGCTTCTTCACCCTCAAAGCAGGCTTTACCTTGAAGTGGGTGTGGTCGGGCCTGGGCTGGGCGACGACCTTGCTGCGAAATGCGAATCCCGATGACTGCAGGGGCTGCTCTGGGTTCTGAACCTGCAGCTTCCCATGGTAGTTGTAGACGTAGTCCTTGCCCACCTCATAGCCTGCATGTTTCCAGAGAAGCATACCCTCGCTGTATTCGTGTGTAACGCGAAATGGCGTGTCAGTTGGATCTTTACCTTGTTTCCGCTGATTTCTTTCCTGCCGCAATGATGTTTGGTGTTTTTATAAAGATATTGATTGATCCAAACTACCTAAAAATTTGAAAATCCCATTTCATGAAGTCCGACGATGGGCCATCATAGAATGAGCTTTTTAGAGACATTGTGTTCGTGCATTTTATGTGCATTATGTCTTCTTGCGTAGTAAAATAATTGAAATAGCGACATATACTTTATTAGAAATATGTACGTTTAGGTAAGACACATAAACAAGAGAAGTCCTTGCCATTCCGAAACGCATTTGTAAAAGTCAACAAACTCATCATCCCGCGTTGTAGTGAATATTTTCGGTTGCCTTTCAGGACATTTGAGGACAAAGACGGTTCGTTGGCATGGCGCTTTTCGGCTGAATGGTGTGTGGTTACAATAATCTAAAAGCTCAAAAACGTTTTTTTCTTTCTTGTGGCGTGACGGGTGTTACAAGAGTAGCATCGCCCTAAACGTGATTAAAGCCTCTGATAAAACTCAAGATGGGATCGCCTGACACTCTCTCGCGCTCCTCTTCTGCGCCTGGCAGCACACGAGATTTTTTGCTCCTTCTTTGTGTAGCGTCCCCCCCCCCCCCCCCCCCCCCCCCCCATAAAAAAATCTACAGATTTGCAAAAAAGAAAAGAAAAAAACCTAGCTTTGTACCGATTTATTTTTATTTCTTTTCCGCTGCCGCACCACAAAACAAGATTATTTCTTTTTGATGAATCTAGAGATCCAGGAAAAGAACACACCAAAAGTCTTTTTATACCACATTTCCTAAGCAGACTGCCGAGGTGCCTACGTAGAGCAGACAAACAATTTTTGAGAGCAAATCTGCTGCCGTATTATATGACGCAAAGAAGAACGTCGGCTAGTGCCCTAAGTGAGCAGGTAGATAAAACAGGGCGCACCATATATTTCAATCGAAGTGAACTTCTGGAAAATCTCACAGAAACGGCTGCATCGTGAGTTCTCTACATCTTGACATAAAACAAAAAAATCGGGCATCAATCCGGTACCCTTCCAAGCGTATTGTACTTGAATCCCGCCTGTCGTTATTGTAGCATGCTGGTGGTCATTCCTACCTCCGTTTGTCGAAAAAAATTAATGCTTCAGTGCGAAGTGTAGGTTGCAGAAGGCGCGTCCTTGGCAACAACGCCACAACAATTGCCGCTAAACATGTGCGTACCAACCGGGAAAGGGGGGGGGGCAAGGGGGGCGCTTGCCCCCCCAGTTCTGAAAGTGGGGGGGGGGGGGGGCAGGGCATGTGTTTCTTCCCCCCCCCCCCCCCCCCCCTGTTACCCTGAAACAGCCACCACTGGGCAGGGCAAACACTGGCTGGCAGTGCCCAAGGGATACCAAGTGCACCGCCCCGGCCCTGAAGGGGGGGGGGGGGGGGTGTCTGATTTGCTCCCCCCCACTCAAAAACAACTGTCACTAAAGTGACGTCCATGCAAGCCATAAACACATTTCGAGACCTCACCCCATCGCAGCAAACGGCGTGCTAAAAAAACCAGCCTGAATACAAGCGGCACACCCTCCGGCCGACCACAGTCGCTCAAAAGTCACTGACAATCTAAGAAACGCAGAGCGTGGTGAATCCCCTGACATCTTGCCATTCCCCCGCAGCCAATAAGTTTGCGGCGGTGGCCGGTAAAAACGCGGAAGAAGGAATCACAAGGCAGGAGGAGTGAACATAACGGTCCGCACCCTACGTTTGTTAAGGTGTCGCTGACTTAGTATTCAAGAGGTTAAGTAAGTCCAGAAGTGTCGGGATTTCAACACAAAATGTGCATAGGCGTTGGAACGTTTGCGAAAACCTTGCGCTCAAGCGTGACTAAAAGTTGTTACACGCAGGCCAGGGCAACAGGAAACATACAGAGCCTATGTGTACGCATGCAAAGCAATAAAAAAAGAAAAAAGAAAAGGAACTTAGCCATGTTCAGAAATGTTTTTGAGTATGAAGTCTTTTTCAGGTTGTCTCGTGCAAGCGAGTGATGTAAGAAAACGTCCAGCGGGGTTTTCGTAGGATTCCAACTCACCAGTGGCGACGGCAATGAACAGAACGGGCAAAACGTAAGGGGCTATCATGACGATGCGCGTCTCTAGCAACTTGTTCCCATCCCTCACAAGTTAACACTGAATCATCAGCCTTCTTTGCATCAGCTTAAATATGGCTGGATCTACGTGGGCCCTTGGACGAGGAAAGGTTTTTTCTCGCTCGACAAATAAGAGCGTGCTGGTTACGCTACGAGAAAAAAGGGAAAACAAGAAAGAGAACCACACATTTTTATGCCGTGGATTTCTTTTTTCTTGTTTCGTTTTTAAGTTTATAGTGATAACAGGCCGACATATCACGCGAGAGGGTGCTTTTCACCACTTCCCCCTCTCACTCTCTTCGCCTCAAAATAGCAGATTCTGCGAGAGCTTGAGGTTTTTGCTTCTGCTCGCAAGCCAGGGAATTTTCGCAGTAGTCTATCCGTTTTCTTGATTGTGAAGACGGGCTTGGGTGTCAGTTTGAGTGTACACACAAGGACGGCCAGTGTGGGGCACGTTAGGGGGGTTCTGCGGCTGCAAGGTCAGCTTCCAGAGTGTAACAGAGAAAGAAATGTGATCTCTTATTTTCAAGAGTGGTTTCGTTGATAACCCCTCTTCTTGCTGCTGGGATGCTGATTCGGATCTGGGTGAGGGTCGAATAAAAAAGAACCATCATCATCATCTTTTTTTTTTTCTTGATAACTTGCAAGTAATAATACAGAATAATGTGGTTCTATATATTTTTATTAAAACGAATGAATAAGCCATAAGCACAATACTAAAGCACTGTTATCTAATATGAGTGTTTATATATATATATATATATAAAAACGCTAGTATCTGCTGCCAACATATGAGTGTAATTTATATAAACAATGTGGTCAGGTAGTGTATTTTTGTCTTTTATTGTGTAAGATGGGAAATGCTTCCTTGTTGTTTTGTAAAACCGATTTTAGTCGCTATTAATGGCGTTTAGTTAGGGCAGTGGTTCTCAAACTTTGGTTCGCGGACGTCCAGAAGCCTTCGAGGACCTTCATAAGGGCTCTCGCCAAGTGAAAAAAGCTCGCTAAATATACCTTTCCTACGCCATTGCACAAGACTCCCGTTAAAGAACTTGTACTTGGGATATTTGGTGAACGTTATGAAGCATGGTGCAATGCGCAAACAACAAGAAATATAAGGAGGAAGACGCACGCACAGGCTCGGAAAGGAAAGCATATCTGCACCTTCATGAATTCCATGCATCCGCTTGGCCGGGGAATACACGCCTTATCTCTCATTCACAAAATCTTTAAAAAAAATATTATCTCAGCATTATACACTGCAATAGGTATGTTATTTACGCATTGAGTGCACCTCTTTTTGTTGAAGTACGCTTCGGGACAAGGGCAAGGGCCTAAAAGCGCGAATGAATGGATGCGTACTTCATCAAAAAGAGGGGCACACGATGCGTGACACATCTATTGCACTGTATAACGCTGAGATAAGATGTTTTTATAAGTTCTCGTGGATGGGAGATCAAGCGTGCATCCCCTGGCCATGCGTGTGCGTGGTTGGGATGAAGGTGACGAGATATGTATTCCATTTTTTTCTGCACTTTTTAACAATAGTTGTGAGTGGCGCCTGTGCCTTCTTTTTTATGTCCGTTTTTTTTTTTTAGATTATGTTTTACAATTTCTGTTGAAGTATGCATTTGGGGTTCCGGAATGGCCTTCCAGTTCGTCTGGGAGTTCTTGATGGCCAAATTTGAGAACTGCTGTGTTAGAGCATCAAAATGTCCCATAGCACTCATATTTACACGCTTGTCAGACGTGCCTCCTCTAGGTTTGGAGAATCATTCTGCCGTAATTACAGTGAGTGTGCAGGCGAGCTTGTGGCAGTTTACAATGATGCCGTCCCATGACCAACTCCAATTAAAATTTGCTGAGGATAGTCATTTATATTTTCACAGACCATAAAAGATTGTGAGCGGTCGCTTCGATCTCTTGATATAGCATTTTGTTGAGAGAAAAAAAAAATTTCGAAGCACCGAACAGTTACGACAAATTTCGCCACTGATCTGCGAGGGCAAATCCGAACGCGGTTTCTGCACACAAAACTTGAAAGTATAAAACAGAGAGGACGAGGACGGGGGGCGGTTTTATCGTTGTGCCATTCTATGTTGTTGCTAAATGAAATATGTCCTGTTCCCGTCCTCGTCCTCTCTGTTTTATACTTTCAAGTTTTGTATCTATTAACCAACACGCTTTTTTTCAACTGTTTCTGCACACGTTTGAACTTTTCCTTAGCTGTTGTGCGTGTTGTCACCTAGACTTGTAGAAGCCTCCTTTTCTCGAGAACATACTGCTGCTCGTGACTTCCTCCATACTTGTAGTGTCTCGCTTGATTCCACGCTTGAACCCTCTTTTTAACGAAATAGGATATTAACTTGTCTCTTTTCTCCTGCCACAATTCACGTTTATTGGAGAGTACTCGCAGCTAGCACCATGTCATGGTTATTCCACCGAGAAAGTCCCAAGATCTTAACCTGATCCTCGTTTTCCTTCTAGTGGTTTGGTCCACGTGCGCACTCTTCGAATTTAATTGTGCAGTTGGGACTGGCTAGAACTAGCATCAAAGGAGCGGGACTTTACCATCACAAAGCAGAGCTCGTTGGCCGCTTGCACCGCTCCAGCGATTGTCCTCAGCACTTGCAACTAATGAATCTTGTGTTCCTGTGGCAGCCCACGGTTTTTGATGAGCCAAGTGCGCCTTGTTTCTCAAGAGTGAAGGCACTCCGGCCTTGCACCCTCTAGTTCCAGGATGAACACTTGATAATCGGAAGGCTTAGGTTTATCTTGACCTTCGCCTTGCCAAAAATAGGTTTGACGCTTTGGCTTGACTTGCCAAGAAGATAATGAACCAAATCTCTCGTGCTTACGGTCAGCAGCAGAACAACCGTTGCTTCATTTAACAGCTGATGTTTACTACACCGAACACTTTCCCAGTCACCAGCTTTATTTGAAACAGCCACATATTGCAGTGATTTAAACTTAAGTGTTGTCGGCTGCGCCATTTTGTTGTGTAACAAGACAAAAAATACAGAAAATAAGTTTGAAAACAACAGCCACCATCTTTTGTTTGGTTAAAAAAAAAAGTAAAAGCCGCTTACAACTCCCTGTAACGCCGAATTGGAGCGCAGCTCTTGAGGAGGAGGAGGGAAGGGTAGTGAGGGGAGGGTATATTCCTCCTCCTCCTCCTCCTTCTCCTTCTCATTCCCTCATTCTTTAGTATGCTCCGGGGGGGTCACCTGACCTCGGGAGGACGGGGTCACGTGACCTCGGGGGGGAAGGGTGTCACGTGACTTCGGGGGGGGGGGGTCACGTGACCTCAGGGGGCCACGTGACCTTGGGGGGGGTCACGTAACCTTGGGGGGTCACCTTGGGGGTCACGTGACCTTGATGGGACCTTGGAAGGGGTTACGTGACCTTCGGGGGTCACGTGGCCTCGGGGTCACGTGACCTTGGGGTGACTTTGGTTACGCCGATGGCGACGCCGACGCCGCTCAAGCCGGAAACGGGCTCCTAAGAGCTGCACTCTAAAACCCTTTTCTTACATTCTATCGCATTTATTTTTCATGCCCGTCATCATCTTCATCTGTCTGCTACAAGTAGCAGATGGCGTCAGGCGAAGTGTTTCGCGGTGGTGCACACAGGCATTCATATATCACTTCCATGTCTATACGAACGCTGAATTCTGGTGACCTCCCTTTGTGAATACGTGCGTTCAGTGAGTCACGTTTTAAGACAATGCATCCTACACTAGTGTAGGATGCATTCATAACAACCGCAAATACTGCAACGGGGACACCGAGACAACCATGACCAATGATTGCTTCGCAAAGCTACTTCATGCATTGCTTGGCACGTTTTGCGCTATGAACATATGCCCCGGTAACTTAGTCATTCGTCTCGTTTCGGTTTCTCTGGTAGCACACAACGCAACCAAACTTTCAGCCAGGCTTCAGGGTTTATCTTAAAATAAAGAAAAACCTTTTTTGGGCTTTCCCACGAAAATACTGCCACCTATTTTTGCTATGTTCAGCCTTTTCCCGAAATATCTTGCACATGAAAGCAGTTCAGGTTTTGCCTATTTTTTTAATTTAAAGAAAACATTAAAAAGAAGACGTGATTTAGGTGCTCTAGCTCCCCATACAACTAAATATTGTAGGAAGTTAGTTTGATCACTTCTTCCCTTCTCAAATATGCTTAAGTGTGCCTGAGTCAATATTTATTCCTCAACTGACCGTGACAGGCCGTGACAAGTTTCAAAACTAATATTTCATTTGTTTTTTTAATCTTTCTCAAAGCAGAAAAAAAATCCTGCAATAAATAAGCATATTATTCCTAATAATTAACAACGAGCGTGTTGGTGAAGAGAACAATACTTGAAAGCATAAAACATCGAGGATGGGGACGTCCCTGTCCTCGATGTTTTATCCTTTTAAGTATCCGTATATTATTCCTCAGTTGCATTTTTATAGAAAAATGGGGAAAATAAATATTACGTGAAGCAGTTAACCAAAATTTCCGCTGTGCCCCAACTCTCTTTTCGACAATAACATGTATGATTCCGGCGGGCGTGTTATTTTGAAGGCTTTCATAACTAAGTCCTTTAGAGATCGGCGTACCACAGTCACAATCTTGAGTTGATTCGCCAAATTTTAAACGCCTTCGTACTACCGGCTTTTGACTTTCCCGTTAGACCTGGGTATACAATATGTTATCTTTTGTCGAACAAGAACCAAAGACAACAATTTTCTGCTTCATGTATTTATTCGTGTTTTTTTTTCAAGTCGAACAAGCGCTTATGGCAATGAAAATGTTCACACACGCCGTCACCCCGTTGTCCCGAGGCTCTCGTGGCGTTGCCATTATTCTAGAAACTACAGTCCTGACGTGACACTCACACTGTCATATCACCTCGCTAATAATGAATGAAAATGCCGGCACGCAAGGAACGGCAGAAATAAGGTTGAACGACGATGTTGACGCCAGACGGTGCTCAGGGCGCGG